TTTGGGAACCCATTGGAGAGAAAGTAGAGTATAAATCAAGTAAGTAAATAACTAGTTTTGTGGCTGGGGATCGCCTCAGAAGCAAGACTCTTTTTGTCTCGTTCTGATAAAGATAGCAAGTTCCCTTTGCAGACACTGTGACAACTTTGCAGACACTGTGACAATCCATACAGCACCGTGCATACTGGCCAGCACTAAATAAACATTTAAGAAGAATATCCTCAAGGCACAATGATTCTTGGGTACCATCAGACTGTTTTTGGACAGTGGGAATGTTTTCCAATCACTCTGGCCCTTCGCACCAGCAAAATCTTTAATTATCTCAGACTTAAGATAATGCACTCACACGCTGAATGTCATCTTTAAAAACAAAACGTATGAATGCATTTGCATCCATAGAGACAGCCGTGGTCTTTTATGATAGGGAAGGTGGGATGATAAGAAAGGCTGTGGGTGCGGAAGGAATAAAGAGAAAGCTTATTTGCTGCAGATGCAGGGTGGCAGAGATAAGCAGGGATCTTTCATTTACAGGGTCTCTGTTTTGCCATTGGAAGCTCTTAACACTATTAGCCCCATGTGCATTACCCGCCAGACTTCTGTTCTATCACAGAAATACATTTTCTCAGTATATCTACTGGCAAAGATACTTATCATTAGCTAATGCAGCCACAACCTGTGGTATTTCCGTTCTCACCAAGGTATAATTTAAAAGGTACAGATTTCTCTTAATTTCGTCCCACCAATACAGGCTTAAACATATATTTTTTAAAAAACTAGCACGCAGATCACACCCTTTGAGGTGTTTACTTTTTGTGTGTTATCTGCGTCTGAACGTTTGTACTGCCACACATTTGTAAATATTTACCACAGGACTCTTTGCATATTACCTCAGCAGTCCTTACAATAGTCCCGGGTCAGCATTATTCTCTTATTATGAAGGTAAGAATGAGGGAATATGGCCACTTTTATCAGTTGCTGGCTGGGGTGATATTTGAACAGGGTGTTTTCCAGGTCGCACTCTTGAATCACGACATCGCACCTGTTCTGTAGAAAAGCTTAAGAAAATGTTAAAGGAAATTAACATCGCCCAAAACTATAATTATATTTTAAAAAATGAAAGTATCTCATAGGTCTACATCTGAGAAGGGAATGGTGGCTGAGATAATATACAACCACAACGAAGGCAAAGATAATTACGCAAGGTCCAGCCGGAGATAAAATTATAAAAAGTTTGGGTATTGTATTTTTTTTAGAAGACTCTTAAAATCCCTTATTTTTTTTAAGTTAGTTTTTTTTTCATTTTTAAAATGTTTATTAAGAGGAAGTATAACATATCAAGAAATATAATAACTGCAAAACAGTATACAACTGTCCTGAAAATCCAAAATTACAAACCAACCAGTTAGTCATCAATACAGATTTTTACAACATACATCAACAGTCATAACAAACTAAGTTAG